GGAAAGAGCAGCAGCCCCAGCTAGAAAATTTATGCCAAGAAAGCAAGCCTTCTTTGGCACGGGGTAGAGCTCCAGTCCCAGAACAAGTTCTCCCCTATTGCCTTCCGTTCCACCCATAAGGGGCTTCAGTCTCCTCCATAAGCCCAGAAGAAATAACGTGGTATTATAGCTGTTACTACAATCCACATCTCTGCCCCATCTCCGACTATGGCTCTCTCCATCTGAAAAAAATCTCTCTAGCTACATATAGCTATAGATCTATGTATATATTGACACATATGCTGCATCAAACACACTCACTAATCCAACAGTACAAATAATCCCAAGTTAGGGCCACAGAACAGCTCTACCTCTTTTCAGCATGTCTGCCTGATCCCCCTTTTCAAGCTGCTCCCTAGGGGTAAGTAGAGTCACTCAAAGGATAGACAGGTTCTGTCTTTCCTCCCCTATCCCCACGCCAGGAATGAACCCCTGCCCCACCAGCCCTTTCCCCACACACTCACAAATTTAAGCATGTTCCAGTCAAAGACGTAGTCATAGGAAAAGCCCTGGCGGTGGAAGAGGTTGCGGAAGAGCTGCCGCAGGTATGAGTAGTCAGGTTTGTCATCAAACCTCAGAGAGCGGCAGAAGTTGAGGTATGTCGAGAACTCGGCTGGAGAGACCAGAGAAAGCAGTTGGCTGTTAAACACAGTCTATCCCCCCAGTCCTCCTGGAGAGGACCACAGCCTTTCAACAGCAGTGTGGCAGATCAAAACAGCACAAGCACAGAGCTGTGTAAGGAGGAAAAAGGAGCCTGCTGGTTGCAGAACTCTGGCCACAGAGAAGATCCCGTCCTTATTTTAACTGGAAGATATGTTTGCACATCTCCCTTTTCTGGCTGCTTTTCAATCAAGAGGTAGCAAGTCACAGAGCCTGCTGAAACAGAGTAAGAACGCATCCCCAAAGAATAGGTGGAGTTAAGATTTGGGAAGCCAGGCCTACATGGTGTGAACATCACCAATGCAGCCCAGAGCAGCACAGACAGGAGTGGATCTAAGTTATGAAAGAAGAGCTGTACTTGCTCAGACCAGAGGTCCTCCTGGTCCAGCCTGTCTTGAACAGCAGCCAGAAGTGGAGAGCTACAGAAGAGTAAGACCAGGGCAAGCATGTCTGATACTTCCATTTATATTTGCCCAGCTTCCAGCTATTTTCAGCTCAGAGACTTCCTGAGCTGGATGTGGTTTATAAGCATTTAATAACCCTCAGTGGATCTCTTCCATGCAGTTGTCCAATTCCTCCTTGAACTCCCGTAAGCTTTAAGCAGCCGTAGCATTCTCTGGGAAGGAGTTCCACAGGTCTACTACCAGCTATGTGAAAAACCACATCCTTTTGTGTTCTTGTATTGGAATAGAAAAGAAAAACCAAAAGAGCCCCATCCAAAGTTCTAGAGGCACAGGGAGAGTGCAAACTTCTACCATCTGCCCTCTAATTATCTCTTTTCCAGACTGAAGAGTCCCAGCCCACTCAGTTGCTTCTTTATATAGAAATCACCTCACCTCTGATCATCATTTAGCGCTTTTTGGGAGCTTTTCCAGCTCTACTGTATCCTTTCCAAAATGGAGGGAAGAATCAGAATTACCCCCATGCAATGCACTTGACATGCACCCATGCATGTAAAGTGTGGGCAGGCCACAGGTTTATGCATAGTTTGTGCTCCCCCCTCGTAACTCCTAATACGGGATTTGCACTTTTCTATAGCCACTAAACATGAAGTTGATGTTTTCACACAACCATATGTTGTAACTGCAAGATCTCATTCTTGAGTGGTAATAGTCCGCTCAGAGCCTATTACTTTATATGCGACGTGAGGACTGATCCTCCCACTCTCCCCTTACATACATCACTCTGTATTCACCTGCACAGAACTGCATTTGACACTGCATTGCCCAGGCATTTCTGGGATTCCTCACCATCAGTCAGTATCCTCACTATCCTGAGGAACTCAATATCTTCAGCACACTCTCCCACCTCACTGTCCATCTCTTTTCCAGACTGTTTCTGAGGTGCTATAGCATGAGCTGAGTCAGCATGCTCATGCCCATGTTACTAAGGTAACATGAGGCTTGACCCTCCACCCCAAACATCTACATCTTCCACTTCTGCACCAGCACTGTATTATCACAGGTCCTATTCTTATCCTTTCTCTTCACTGGCATCAGCAGCACATCTGGGTCCTTGCCAAATGTTTGGGGTACTGAGCCATGCCCTTTGGGTCTCAGAATCCATGGGGGTCCAGCAGGAGAGCGCCATGCACCAGACGAGACAGCCACCAAGATCAGAGCACTTACAAGGGTACCCTTTGCAGAGCACCTCAATGGGCGTTGACATCTTTTTCTCGCTGATCCTCTCGTACTTTTGGCGCTTGGTGGCAGCCTTGAGGCCTTGCCAGGGCAACGAACCCAGGTTGAAATACATGAGCACGTAGCCCAGGCTCTCCAGGTCATCACGGCGACTTTGTTCTGCGGAAGAAAGTTAATCAGGGGCAAGGAGTGAGAGGCAACCAAGATTGCTTTGGCAATTGCACAGCTCTGGAAGTGCACATGGAGCCAAAGAAATAACCCCTCTCTTTTCTTTGGTAGATTTATAAGGATAGGCAAGCTTGTAGAAAATTTCCAATACAAATTCCTATGGGATGTTCCTACTGCAGAGTTAAAGCACTCCTCTCCCCATACAGCCCAAACCACTTCATAAATGAGTAATTCCTCTGACTACCTCCCCACTTGGGCAAACATTCAACAGCTCAAAAAAAAAAAAGCGATGCAGCAACACTGCCTACTTGTTCTTCCCAGTCATAGAGGAAAGGCACCTACACTTCTCCATCCAGAACAATACTTAACCCTGCAGATTAGTCATGCCAGACGTAGTCACAGAAAAATAAAGCTAGCAGAGGTAAGCCCAACACAACCTTTTCAAACACATCTTCCAATTAACCTGCTGATACTCTTTACGCAGGGCAGAAATGAGGAAATAGCAACCCCTTCTTGAGTTAAACAACTTTATATTGATAGTTCAGAGAACCATAACAGGTAATACTGTCAAAGTTGTTTCCTGACTTGGTTGGATTTTTAAAGCTGTGGAAGAAAAAGGCACAAAGGCAGAGGTATAGCTTGAACAAAGGAGTTTCCCCTCCCAAATACAGAAAGATTGTGTAATTGGCGTCATGACCAACTCTACTCAGAGCAAAGGATGCCCTTAAAATTCCATCATAAGAGCTCACCTTTAGATGTTCATTAAAAAAGTTTCCCAAACAAAAATATTTCTCACACACTGAACTTATTCTCTGGAATGGGCAAGCCATTTTAAGTCATAAGTTCCCCTGAAAAGAGTTGATGGCTGAAGCTCAGCAATGGAAAACGCTGACTGAATAATTAACGTATGTCACTCTTCCTACCTCCTCCCAAGACACATACAAATCCATCTACAAATTTTTGCCAAGAAGCTCTTGCTCCTGTTCCCCTTCCCCCCACCCAATTAAAAAAAACACACATATATATCGAAGAAAGTGTTAGCCAGAAGACAGGTGCAAAGTTATCCTAGGGATGACAGAGAAAGAAGGCAAGCCATTCAAATCAGTTTAACTATCAACTTCTTAAAAGACTGCAGGTTGCACACTTGCTGGTGAGAGCTGCTTAGAGCCTCGTAGCTAAGTTTACGCAGCAAGGTCTGCTGTTAGCATGCTATGGCTCAATAGGATCACTCCTGTTCTTGACTAAGGATCGCAATGGCATTCAGCAAAGGGAGGAAGGGGAGAACGACACCCTACAGAGCTAACAGAAAGGCAAAATTAGGTTTGAGGGAGAACACAGGAGTAGAAGAAAGGCTAAAGATCTATTTATTACAACAGCACAGTTTGCTGGATGCAGTGTCATGTCCTGCAAGATGCTGCAGGTTATATATTAGCCTACAGGTTAACTCTCTGTATCAATTATGTGCTACAACCTGCCCCATCCAAAGAGAAAGGAGTATTACAGATACCTCTTACTCTGCTAGCTTAACTGAACCACTGACTAAGGAATAGCTGTAGTAGGTCACGGATCTAGATATTCAGACACGCCGATGCAAGCTGTGGGTCACCACAGGCATTTCTTCCTCCTGCGACCCTCTCAACTTCCTCGTGTTTTTGAGGACTAGGGAGGCTGGCAAGTTAAATATAAATTAGAGGAAGAAAAACAAAAAGCCACTATGGTCGCAGAAGAAAAGGAGGGTCTCGACACTTCAGAACCGAGCTGAGAGCACCCTTGGCTCAAAGCATGTGAAATGCCATAAAAAAAACGCAGAGCGCTCCAAAAAAAGAGTAGAAGAGAGAGAAGCCCTGCAGACCCCACAAACGTCTTAATTTGAGCATGCAGGATTAACAGCATTTTTTGACCTCACTAACTTACTTGTCTCAAGTGTCCCACTTTAGAGGGATGAATACCTCCTAATCTCGTCGGGCTACATAACTGTCTGGAAGATGCTTAGATACTATGGAGAGAGCATGGAAGAGAAACCCACAGTTTTGCATTCGCCTAAGGCTAGGATGCGTGTGCCCGCTGTCGGCTGCGATTACACACCAAGCATTGTTCAGTTTCATTTATTTGCTATATTTAATAGCAACCCACTTCCTGACTGAGGCAGGAGGCCTGTGGAAACGGAGTCAGAACAAACATCCACAGAGGCCTGAAAGCACAGGTGATGAGGATAACCTCACTTCTGCAATCTGCCAGCCCTTGACTCGTCCCTGTTGCAGCTTTAACAGCCTGCAATGCTGGGGTCTGGAGGGTGGGGGCACCTCTCAGAGGAGTGGGGAGATAGGGCAGGAACCAGAGAAACCCACTTGACAGACAAATTTGCCCTTTAGGAATAAATCAGGATCCTGCCTCCAAAATTCTGCTTGAACTCTACACTACTTAGGGCTAGGCTGGACATATCTCCGCTCGTGTGGAGCACAGCGGCTTTGATCACAACCACTGACCTGGTCCAGAGCAGGAGAATGTTACAGGAACTCCTGGGCACAATCCTAGTGATTTGGGAGAGACCGAATTAGAGGATTAAGGCTAAAACTAAAGCCTGTGGGGGATCCTGCAAGCCCTATCCCCTTGCCTCTGGTAAGATTACAAAACCAAACTGGAAGGCTCACTAGTATACATTATACATGCACAAACACACCTTTACTGCATCCTAGCGCAGTAACAGGAACAAGGAAAGAGAACTGTAAGCAGGATACACAGTTATTACATGCAGAATGCTAAATGTCTTATTGTGTGGCATCCCTGAAATATAATTTCTCAGGTACACATGGTCACTGCAGGCCACTCCAGCAATTTCAGTGAGATTCAAGTCTGCAAGGAGCCTGAAACACCAGCAGTAACAAGTCACAGTTGTCAAGCTACCTTAATTATATTTGTGCAGACCTCAAAACATTGTACATTTTTTTCACCTGTAACCCTAACAGCAAGATCCTGGGTTAAATCTTGGGTGGTGGTGAGGAAAACAGTTCCTACATTTCATCTCTCTATTTCATCCTTGGCTACCGTCACACGTTCTCAAGCTTATCTCCAAATTATTATTTTTTTGCCTCGCCTCATATGCCAACAGCCACAAAACACTAGATAACATTAATTATTCCACTTTTGCTGTGCAGAGTTAGCAGAAACAGACTTTCACCTCTATGCTTTGGAGAAACGTTACTTAACGTCACCAGTTTTCATTGTTAGAGGCCTGACAATCATTGACTCACTCTCACCGCATCCCTGGGAAGCGGGCAAAAGCATCTCACTTTACTGATTGAGATGAAAAACAGAAACATAAGTGATTTGAACGTGTGCACAGAACGAGTCAGTTTAGAAGCAGCGTTAGAGCCATGACCTGTACCTAACCTGTGACACCACATCGCGCTTCCTCTGTTTTATTTCAGCTTCTCAGCTCTTCTACAATAGATGGCGGACGGCCTCTTTTATAAGAGGCTGATTCTTTCCTCCCTCCCTCACAAAAACCCTTCCAATACAAAAGTCAAGGCTGCCTTCCCACACAATCCAGTAAGGCACTCAAATCCAACCCACCCTGCAAGTAATTCCCCCCACTGTGGTTGCAAGTGGCACAGAGATGCAGTGCCAGTTTCCACCCACTCCCAGGGAGACTCCCAGCCAGTCCACGCTTTAACTCCCTTCCCAAAGCAGGTCCCCAGAGGGAACCGAGTCAGGGGTAAGTAGCAGGAAGGTGAGTTACCTGGTGAAAATATGCTCAAAGAGAGGAGATTGAGGATTGGCTGCCTCAGATATGGTTCATGACCAAACTTGTTTCTTTGCAGCCTGACGCCCTTCCTGGTCCCCCAGAAAGGTGCTTCCCCTCAACCCTTCCCAAAATAGCATTGTTCCCGTTTAGGACTCCCTAGAAATCAGATCTCTTCACTGGAGCCAGCCCAGCTACAAGCAGTCTTACCCAAGCAATGTTCTCCTGATTACATATTCAGATTTGATTTTGCACGTGCTGCGACTACGCTTCCCCTTTCTTTCTCCACTGCATAACAACAGCCTTTAATAGCACACGAAAAGCTGAAAACAGCGACAGGGAGCAGGACCACTGTAAGAACTTCATGACCTGCACCGGCTAAACTGATGCCATCTAGGACACGTAGTCAGAGAGGACCTGCCCCCAACCTCCCCTTATCCAGACAGAATCCTCCAAGCTTCTTCCCAAGACTGTCTCCTGGGCACCCCGGGCATCTATTTCAGACTTTACAAGCTCCAGAGGGTGCAAGGGACTCTCATCCCTGGAGCATGTGAAAATTGACTGGAATGCATGAACCAAAGCCTGCACAATCCAATGACTCCCCCAACAGCAAGTCTCCAGCTGTGGAAACTCTCCCCAATCTCGCCTCCTACTTTTTCCCCGGTCACTGGAAAAAGAATGCGTTTCCTCCAGACATTGGAATGCCCAATCCTTAGCTTGCACATTCAAATAAAGGCGTTTATCTGCTTGCTATTCTTGTCACATGAACACCCTAGCACCTGGTTCCTTCCCTCTCCCTAAATTGCATTAATGTAACGTTAAGGCAGGGAATTTGGTAACCAAAAAGTCAAAAAAATTCAGTGACGGTTCCCATGGCAATGCTGCTAACTCACAAACACGTCTGTCATTTACCCAGTGGCAAGGTCTGGAGAAAAAGGAACTCCAGCTGCAACTCTGACACCACCATCCCCTTTCCTCCAGACAAGTCATGTAACCTTTCTGTGATTGAGGGGAACTATCTGCAACGTGGAGATAACATGCCTGAGATCTGTTGCACCGAGTAATTCACACCCAGAATTTTGGGAGCAAAGGGGATGAAGAGAGCGACTGTTCTGCTCAGACTAAGGCCGTTTGCAACTTGCCCTTGCATTAGTGTTCAGACATTGTTTGTTCATCCTGGTCCACCAGCCAAGTAGTAAAGGACTAAGTTAGGGGTAGTATGAATAATAAAGGACTTCAAACAACTAAAACCAAACCAAAACAACACAACCAGACATTTAGCCTCTCGTGCTCAGTTCAGACAGAGCAGGCACACACAAAAGGACTGACAGACATAGCAGTAGGAATTATTTTGTGCATGTCTCCTTGCGGTAGTTACCACGGCTGTGGAAATCTTGACTGAGAATTCAATGGAGAGTCAGTTATATATAAGCAGGTCAAGCCAAAATACAGTAGGCTAACTCAGAGAGCTCTACAAGAACTATTTTTACTATGTGGAAGAGGTCAGGAGACCACAACCCACTCTCAACATGCAATGCTCCCCATTTCAATACACATGAAGTGTTCTCAGTCTACAGTTATACCGTATTACCAAAAAAAGACAGTGGGAATCTGCTGTGTTTTCTGCAGGTAGAGTCATGGCTCCAGATTTCTGAGACGCCACCTGCAACAGGAGAGAATAGGAAGCTTTCCCTAGTAGAACGAGGGCATGAAATCCTGTGGAAGCTGTTTAAAAAGTTTGGGTTCTCCGCTCTGATTTTCAAATTCCCAGTTTATACTTTTCAGAAAAAGCTCTCCCAAATGTGAACTGAGCTGCAAGTACGAGGAGCTGCTTCCCCGGGTCTGCAGGCAAGGCAGCTTCAGCTGCTGCTGCTCAGATTCGCCAACCAGCAGCAGAACAAAGTCAGTTTGTTCAGAGCTTACTTTCACTGCTGCTAATCAGGACCCTGTGGGCAACTATGAAACTCTCACGCTGTGGCTGACAGGCAAAGCTTAGCCTAAGCAGGGGAAAAAGGGGTCAACGTGGGAAAGAGGCACCCAGTCAGGAAACGGAAAAGAAAACTGCAGGAGAGGTCTTCATCTCTGCTCCTCATAGCAACTAGATGCTTTGGGAAA